CTTGGCATTTACACTTCAGATGAACTTGAGAACATTAACAAGTTCATAACAAAACCTATGTGGACGTTGTTTGACGTTGCATCAAGTGCGGAGATTCATTTGTGCAGAATCCCAGTCGGACGGCCCCCAAGTCATTGCCTATGATTTGTGTCTTGATTTTTAGAACTCTCTATTTGAATGATCTCCAGGAAAAATCATCGTGTTCTCTTCACGTAGGTTTTCGTAGTTCTCCCGAGGTTGAGCGCTAGACTTTGCTTTTGTTGTTCTGAAATGCATCTGTTGACATGAACTTTTTCCCTGCTCTACTGGGCCAGCACCCAGGTAGACGGTGGGATTGCGTTTGTTGTGAAGACTGCGTGGGCACACGCGGCACCTCCGCCTGCTGCGCGTCTTGGAGTATCTAGTGCTCTGGCCCCGCTGGTGGGTGCCTTTCAGGGCAGGAGCCCTATTTTGGCGACTTTGTATGTAATATCCAGCCCATATTAAGGGCTCCAAACACTTTTGCAAAATGAATGAATGCCTGAAAGAAAGGCGATATTGAAGGGCCTCCACCGAGAGGACAAGGGTCTTTTCCCTGAGCCCGTGGAATTGCGATTTTCTTAAAACTGCCTTCTGCTTTGCTGTATTTTTAATTTTTTTTCTTTGTGATAATGTATTACCTTGGATGAACACTTTTTAAAAAAAGGAAGACGATTTTTCACGCGGAGAAAGAACACCACATGAAGGAAAGAGTGCCACGAGGTGCAGCTTATACACTGCGCGTCAATTTGAAAAAGAGCAAACTGGCCCGGGCTAGCTGGCTCGGTTGGCGTGGAGCGATGTCGGATGCGCCGAGGGTGTGGGTTCGATCCCAGTCAGGGCGCATGCAGGAAGGGACCAGTGAATGCATCAGTAAGTGGAACAACAAATCCATCTCTCTCTCTCTCTCTCTCTCTCTCTCTCTCTCTCTCTCTCAAATCAATAAGAAACTCAGTAAAAAAGAGAAAACTGTGTACCTTAAAAGCGGCTAGGGAGGGGGCTGACTCACCTCTCCGGATGACTGGTTGTCCCTCCGTTAGAGGCTTGGGACCACTGCTGTGACACGCTCTCCCCGGCCCTCCCAGGGGTGAGGGCACTCAGCTGCCCTTGCCCTTGGGGTCTCTAGGCCTCAGCAAAGACCCTGCCCAGGGAGGAGCAGCCGGAGGGCAGCCGGGGCGGGACTTCCTCCCTGCCCTGGGGCTGTTCCTACAAGATGAGGATCGGCGGTGCCTGCTGTGACCGTGCCCGGGACACCCCTGGGGAGGGTGGACAGGAGGACCACGGGGTCAGTAATACATGCAGCTGGCCAGAGAGGACATCGGCCTGGCTCCCGCCAGAGAGCAGCCGCCTGGGGCCTGGAGCCCAGGCTCGCCTGTCAGCGATGAGCCGCGGCAGCGCTCGGCCGCGCAACGTGGACAGTGGAACAAGCAGGGGAGCGACCAATGAGAAAAACAGGAGGGCGCCGCTGGCAGATCTGTGCGGGGAAGGGCAGCTCATCAGGCCGGTGTTGCGCGCTCCGGCCAGGGGCGCAAGGCTGCTGTGCGTCTCCCCCAGAGGGGGACGAAATCCTCGGCATGACTGTGATCTGGTAATGAAAATAATAACATGTTTCACAGGAGGAAGAGCGACGCTGGAATCACAGCAGTTGGCGAGGGAGCCTGTCATGCCTGGCGCAGGGCCAGGCACTTGCTGACGACCCAGGTCGTGACCAGGGAGGAGGCTGAGGGTGGCGAGGGGGGCGTCAGGCCGTCTTCCTGCGCCTGGCCCGGGCCTGCGGGACGCGAGGGCTCGCCGTGCTTTCTGCGCCCTCCCCCGGGGGCGGAGCCCTGGCTCGCCGCACGGCCACTCCCGCGCTGCGCTCGGCGCTGGACCAGCACCAGGCGCTCCGCTCACTCTCGCCCACCCCTTAAACTTTTTTTTTTTTTAATATTAAGACAATTATTTTAGAGGTGGCTTAGGTTCACAGCTTTATGGGAAGGAAGGCGTAGAGATTTCCCACTACCGACACCTGCACCAGAGTGGGACGTTTGTTAGAACGATGAACCTACGCGGACACATCACGGTCACCAAAGCCCGTGGTTCACGTCAGCGGCCACTCTTGGTGTGGCGCCTTCTGAGGGTTTGGACAAACTCTGTAATGACATGTGGCCATCACTATGGCGTCGCACCGAGCGGTGTCAGTGCCTCACACACCCTCTGTGCCCTGGCTGTGCGCCCCTCCCCCTGCCCCCGAATCCTGACGACCGCTGGTCCTTCTCTGTGGTTTTACCTTTTCCAGAAAGCGATAAAGTTGGAATCATGCAGCGTGCAGGTCGTCCAGATGGGCTGCTTTCTCTTGGTGACATGCATTTAGGGTTCTTCTATGTCTTTCATGCCTTAATAGCTGTTTTTTTTTTTTTTTAGTGCTCAGTAACATTCCCTTGTCTGGATGCACAGCAGTTTACTTATTCATTCAGCTATAGAAGGACACCCTGGTTGCTACCGGGTTTTTACACTCATGACTAAGCTACCAACATCAGTGGGCAGTTTTTTATGCTAAGTGAAGGAAGCCAGTCGCAGAAGGGCAAACACTCCTGGATGCTACCCCATGAGGGGTCCAAAGCAGTCAAACTCGCGGAAGCAGAGGACAAGGTGGTTGCCAGCTACTCATCAGATACAAAGTCTCAACTGCACAAGGTGAGCAAGTTTTATTGACCTGCTGTATAACATAGTTCCCATATTGTATACGTAAAAATCTGTCAAAGGGTAGATATGTTAAACATTACCACGACATAAAAAAGGAATTATTGTAACTGTAACTACTTTTCTTAGGTTTGATAATGATATTTTGGTTATACTTTTACAAAAAGTATTTACCGTTGAGAGACCTATGCTGAAATAGTTACAAGTGGAATGATACAAAGTACCGATTTGCTTCCAAACAAGGAGGGGGGAGGTCGGGATGAAATAAAATTGGCTATAAATTGAGTATTGTTAAAGCTGGGCAACAGGAAGGTGGAGTTCATTACGACGCTGTCGTGCTAGGAGGAAAATTTACAAAGCGAGGCGCTAGTGGACGCTGGAGGCGTGGGGAGGGCCTTCTACCCACGGGACCGCAGGAAAGCCTGGTTATTTAAATGGAGGCCTGAGTGACGCAAAGGAGCCGACCCTCAAAGATTTGGAAGAAGTGTCGCAGGCTGGCCAGCGCCCAGACCCTGAGGCTGGCGTCGGCGGAAGTGTCTGAAGAAGAGCCTGAGAGGCAGGGGCTTGCAGGAGGCGGGACGCAGGGCAGATGAAGCAGCGCCCCCGCGGGGCCCTGGGTTTCCCTGTTGCAGTGAGAAGACATGGAGGACTCAGCAGGGGACAGCGCTATGATGTGGGTCCTTGCAAAAAGCTCACTCGGGCTGTTGAGCTGAGAATATACTGGGGGGGGGGGGGGGGGGTGAGCCACGTGTCTTTGGCTGCCAGGGATGGCGGTCCTGGTGCAAACTGCTGTCATCGGTCAGGAAATTCGCTGGAGTCTTTAACCGGAAGTCTCGAGGTAACGCAGGGTCCGGCGTTGGCGGCTTCAGCCCAGAAACAAGCGCTGGGATGTCATCACGGGCTCAGGCTCTGTGGCCACAGGGTCAACTTCTTTCCGAGATTAGGTCTTCCTAGACGAAACACACAAGGCTAGGTACTTGGTGCTTCCCAGCCAAGGGACTGGGTAGGTAGATTCCTTATGGAAGCGTCTCCAAAGACTGAGGAAGCACTTTCGCAGAGGCCTCCAAAAAACTGGTATGTGTGAGATGTCACATGCCCTTTCGCGAGCTAACCAGGCGCAGGGAAAAGGCAGCCCCCTCCGAGCAGGGCTGGGGGCCGCCAGCTTCCGGTGGGCACTGGAGCTGGGACGGCGGGGGCTGAGGGTCTGCCTGAAGGCGGTGGGGCGGGGCGAGGTGGGGTGGAGGTGGTGGGCAGCAGCCAGGGCCCATTACGGGGGGTGGGGGCATGAGTGGACGGAGGGAGACCAGAGGAAAAGCTCCCGAGGAGGCCGAGGATGGAGAGATGATGGTGTTGGAGAAGGAGCTCAGAGCAGCGGATTCTGGCTGTTTCAGCAGCATGGAGTGAGGAAGAGAGCAATTGACGTGTATCCTTTCTGCCCACAATGCCCTCCTTTCTTGGAAGCAAATGGAACTATATCAGGATGGAGCATGGCCAAGACCGCAGACAGGCACCCCAGGGTGCCAGGTGCAGCTCCCTGCCGGCGCACTCCCATCCGCACAGGACGAAGGAACAGGCCCGACGCCACCGTTAGAGGCGGGCGCAGAGATGGCTGTGAGGGCGAGGCCACTTCCCTTCAGTGCGCGTTCCTTGGTGCCTGCTGGGTGCAGCGGCTGAAGGAGAAAGAGGGCAGAGGAAGACTAGAATAAGAGAGAAAGTTTTGTTCGCACATAGCAGCATATTAATGTAAGCACCATGGCTTTAAATAAGGAAACATTAGAGTGTGTGCAGTAATTAATACGCATGCACACATAATTGCATCTTTCAAGTCATTAAACAGGCGCAGGGAAGGTTTGAATTTGCTACAGTTGAACGGCTGAAGCAGCAGCTTGAGCGCATGAATGAAGCGCCTACCGCCAGATGCGGCCCTGAGCGCCCGGGGTGGGGGAGGCGGGAATGTGGGGCGCACGGCCACGCCCGTGCTCCGGTCCAGGAACACTCCCGCTGCGCGGACACCGGTTAGAAGCAACGCTTTTCGCGAGGGTTGCGCCCAGCCTCGGCCTCCGGCAGCCCCGCACCACGTGACCGCCGGGGCGGGGCGAGGGCGGGGCGGCGCGCGCTTCCCGGCGTGCCGCGCGGGGCGGGGCGAGGGCGGAGCCACGCGGGAGTTCGCCGCCACGGGACGCCAGGCTCGGCCGGGCCACCGGACAGCGCCTCCCGCTCTCCCGGGTTCTCTGCTGCTCGGAGCCGGCGGCGGCGGCGGGCGGCGAACGGCGGGCGGCATGCGCGTGTGAGATGTGGCGGCGGGCAGCCGGGACGCGGGCCGCGGCGGAGCGGGCGAGCGCGGCCTCCTCAGCGCGGGGCGCGCAGTGCATGAGGGCGAGCACGCGGGCGCCGGGCAGCCGCCGGCCACGCCGCCTCCATAAACACTTGTTTAGGACTCGTTCGCCTCGCTGAGGCCCCGGCGCAGCCATGGAGGCCCCGCCGGCCCCGGCGCCCCTCGCCGCCGCCTCGGCCTCGGCCCCCGCCCCGCTGCGCGCCCCGGAGGTGGCGCGGCTCCGCGAGGAGCAGGAAAAGGTAACAGGCCGCGGCCCGGACCGCGCTTCCGCCGAGCCTCGGGGGGCGCCCGCGGCCGCGGCCCCGCCCCGGGCCCGACCCCCGGCCCAGCCCGGCGGTGGCGGCCCAGCTCGCTCCCATCCCGCTCCGGGGAAGCGCTCAGCCTGCAGGCCGCGCGGGAGAGAGAAAGTGATGGGAGAAACTTTTGTCACGTGCTCCTGTTGTCTTTTGTCTGCAGCCCTTTGACCTCCGAGGGGGGCGGGGATGCGGAGAGGGCTGCGAGCCTCCCTGTCACTTGCGTGTGAAAGCGGGGCCCGCTGTCAACGGAAGTGGTTGCTAAAATGAATACTCTGTATCCTTGCCCGTAAGCATTTTACCAGGTTTGTAGCGCGGCGCCTCGGGTGCACTCCCAGCGCTGGGTGCGGAGCGCAGGGCCACCGCGAAGCGCTCTGACGTCATTTTAACTTCAGTCGTGTGATCAGGGAGCTTTACGACGCCGGTGAGCGGGGAGGAAGCTGTGCATTACCTAACGGGCTGTCTAGGAGGACACCCGCACCCCAGTGAAGAAAGACAGCGCTACTGCTTAATCGCAGGTTTTTTTTCCTTTGGATTCGGGAGCATTCCTGTGGCCACCGTCTCCAGAACGTTTGAAATTTTGACTCTGAAAAGCAACGTTCAATTTAATGGCCCGTGTCATGTTGCGAGAGAGTATCATTAACCTCACTCGGTAAAAAGAGTGAGGAAGTTGTTTCAAACTCGAAACAGGGAGAGCCCCTGACTTTTTCTAAGGAACGTCCCTGTGTAGAAACAACACAGGCGAGCTCCACAGGTACACTCCTTCCAGCTAGAGAGGGGGTTTTCAGGGACGGAAAACAAATCCCCCAGCCTGGAAGCCACCTGTTGTGCGCATTGTCCCTGCTTTGTGCTGGTTGGCCTAGATTATTTTGTGTGTTGCGTTTTTTTTCCTGAGAGCCATTTTTTTTGTAATGATAGGTGCAACTGTTGGGTTTTAAATCTGGCCTTGTTTCCAGACGGGGGCCTAAAAATTCACCCAATTTGGCATGTTTAAGTTACAAGACATTAACGGATCTTACTTTTTTTGAAGAGAAACATAAAAGAGCAGGGAAAAGACAGCTCTTTCTGAAACCAGCTTGTTCATTTTTGGCGAAGCTATTTACGCTGTTGTTCTTGTAGAGAATGTGGAGCCCCCCGCCCGCCCACCGACCACCACGACGGTGCTCCCAGGATGGTGGTCGCCCGGGTCACGGTGCCGGTGTGCATCCTGCCGACCCGGCCCGCTGTCTCCCCTGGCGCATTAAAAAGAGACGTTCTGGGTTGTCTCCTGCTGCCAGTGCGCCTGAAATACGAGGGATCCACGGGGGTGCTCTGAACGGCCCTGGGGGGTGGTGTCCAGTTACACCGAAGCCGCCTCGGGAGCAGCTGTCCTCAGGGGGCCCGGACTCGGCGCCCACCCCGCTCCGGTGTTGCGTCCGTGCTAATCCGGGCGCACGCCGTAAGCGTGTGCGTGTCTGTGGTGCTCCGGACTCCACTCCCCGTCATGCTGCGGCTCCTGCCTGAAGGGACAAGGCCGCGTTTTGGAGGCTGTGTGTCAGCAGGCAGGGCCTGAGGCACAGCTGCCCTTTGGTGGTCCAGCGTGGGAAAGCCTCGCCCGGTCAGCAGCCCAGCGTTGTCGTCGGGACCTTGTTGAGGCTTTCGTGCCGGCCCCCCACCTCCCGCTCCCGCAGGAGCCCCAGGGGCTGGGGAACCGGGCGAGGTAGGAGTGTGGGGACGCGGCTGAAGGAGAGAGGGCCCGAAGGTGCAGCAGCAGCGTGTTAGTGTGGCACTTAGAGTTCCGCGTGCACGACCAGCTGACGGCGCCTTAGGACCTGCCATTTCCTCCCCGGGTTCTGAGAACCGGGCCGGAGGGGCCTGAGGGCGCCATGGGAGGGGCCGTTCGCCTGCCCCGGGCGGCCCCCCCACCTCCCCCGCCCCCGGTCCAGGCCCTGGGGTGCCTTCCGGCGGGGCACCGGCTCCCTGCAGCTGTGGGGGGGGGGGCTGAGGTAGCGAAGGTAAGTGCTGCTCCTTGGTTTATTGTTTCCGGGTTTTTAATACATTTTGTTGAGGAATGGAGCAGGTCTGTGTTGTCCTTGTTTACCCTTGGAGCACGCAGAACAAGGACAATAAATGAGAACCCGAGGGGGGGTGCCTGGAGGGGCTCGAGTGAACCACGGCCCCCAAAGTGACAATATCGCCCGAGAGAGGACGGCGTGAGATGTTTCACGTGGGCTGCATGTGTAACGCTGGTGCTGGGACTTGGGCTCGCTCCTTTCTGATCGAGCCAAGAGCCTTAGGGAACAGTTCCTCGCAGCCGTGCCTCTGATGATGAAGAAGCTGAAAATCCAGCCCGAGAGGCCTGGCCGTACCAGTTGCGTCCGTGGGAGGCCTCTGTGTGGCACGGGAAGCGGAGCAGGGGGCGTGTGGGCCGGGCCGTGGCTCTGCCTGTGCACACGGGTGTCATCCGCTTCCCGCAGAGGACACACCGCCCGCGGCTTCCAGAGCCCGCAGTCTCCTGTCTCGTTTTACGTGAAAGTGAATGAATTTGGGCGGAATTTTAGTTTTTTCAATAAAGGATGTGGATGACACTTCATGTAATTTAATAAAAACTGGGATGTTGTTTAACTGCTAAATACTTTCTGTGCCCAAAAAATGTCTCTTGGCTGGTTTGAACACCAGCGAGGCAGGTTTATGTCTTGGTGTTTCCAGCGCTGATGGATATAGTGTATCCAAACATCTAGTCTCCATTTGTTTTTCTTTTTGTTTTCTTTTTTCCTTAGAGGTTTTGTTTGGTCTTCCCTATCCAAAGATACAGGGACAAGAGGGAACTTGGATTAACTTTCTCTCTTTTAACCAAATCTGTTTTCACTAACAGCAGTAAACTGTTTGGTGGGAAGACGTAAGATCCTCAGGAGCCCTTGCCGGGGGCCTGAGCCCTAGAAGCCAGAGTCCCTGGCGGCAGCGCGGCGCCTCGGGCTGTGCCCCGGGTTCGCTCACACTGAGAGCGTGGTACCTCTTGTCTCTTTGACTTATATTCTGTTGAAATTTTTGTTTTTTGGCTGAGATGGTAATTCTGTGGTATCTGTATTTTCTATTTTTGGAATCGGTTATCTTTTATTAGCAGAATTACTGAGATTTTATTATAATGTAGCAAAAGAACTGTATGCTGTTGTTTTTGTAAGTTTATTTGCACGGTAATAGTAACTTTGGAAAATTCATGTGAATAATATTATTTCATTGTAATTGTTACTGAGTGGCTCATTAATTCTCACTCAGATTTTTGGAATAACTTACACTTTCTTGATGTAGAGCCTGGGGAGTTAGATGCATTGAGTGAATATTTCAGAATGTTCATAAAGCAAAACAATAACTTGTGGAGGGCTTTCATATTTCTTTTTTTTAAAAAAGATTTTATTTGTTTTTAGAGAGGGCAAGGGAGGGAGACGGAGAGAACATCCATGTGTGACTGCCTTTTATGTGCCCCCAACTAGGGACCTGGCCCGCAACCCAGGCCTGTGCCCTGACTGGGAATTGAACTGGCGACCCATTGGTTTGCAGGCCGGCGCTCAGTCCACTGAGCCGCACCAGCCAGGGCGGCTTTCATATTTCCCATGATCAGAATCTGTCTGCCATGTGCCCTGTATAATAGCTCTTCCCTCCACGCCCAGAACCCAAGCCATACAATTTTTCAGCAGACATTTATGGAGTATCTGTTACATGCCAGGCGTGTTCAGCTGAGGGTACAGTAGCGAACAGAACAGAGAAGGTCCTTGCTTTAAAGGAAACTATACTCTAGTGGCAGAGACACGGGTGGGACATTAAAAGTGTCACCTGGGGTGTGGTCTGTAAGGCTGGGTAGAAAAAAAGTCAGGCTGCAGCGAGAGTGGAGGTCTGAGTAGGGGACTTGTCATGTAAGGAGGCCGGGGACAGCCTGTCTGTGTGGTGCCGTTTGAGCAGGACCCTAACGTAAATGGGGAGAGAGCGTGGGGCCGCGGGGAGGGCGTTGCGGGGAGGGCGTTCCGGAGACGGGTGCGCAGGCCAGGACTCGCCCGTCGACGCGTCCGGGCGGGAGCGGGGTCGCCGCAGCGGGAGGGCTCCGGTGGTTACTTTTGTTGGACGAGGAGCCGCTGGCATGTGTTTTGAGATGACACGGATCGTAACTCATGAGCATCCAATTGTCCTGTGCCAGGGAAGGGAGACGTGGGGTCCCGTTAGATAGGGCGGCTTCTGTGTGTGCCAGGCATCCAGAAATTTGGTGTTAGAATCTTCGTTGACTCTTAATTGTTCAGGGGCACAAGTTGGGTTGTTTCTAGGTTTTCTTTTTTCTTTTCGTTGTTTTATGACTTTTTAAAAATTTAATGTTTATGATACATTTTTTTTAATTGGCATTTAGTCTCCTTAAAGCGCGCCCCTGCCCTGAAGTCTCTCACAGGTTTAAGTGGTTTCAGCCCTTGACGCGCCAGTTTTGACGCTGGCGGCTTCAGCTGGTCTGCTCAGCTGGAGCGCGGCACCGGTGAGCCGTCTCCAGCCCGGAACCGCGCAGACCGCTTCTGACGTGACCGGTCACAGCGCCTTCTCCACACGCTGCACAGATCTCTTTTGTGCTTAAGTTGCCTTTTTACCTTTCTTGGAATAATAAAGCATAATATGCTGAAAATGTTACGTATTTTATTTGATCTACCATATTAAAGTGGCTACTCAAAAATTCACTGATTTCAATTTTTTTTAAAATACTGGCTGATATGGCAGCTGTCACAGTACAATCTAACAGAATTGTTGCGAATGCAGTAAAGACAACTAAACACTACTAGAGCCATCATATGGGAAAAAACCAAATGAACATTTTGGCCGACCCAATACTTGATTTTTGGGGAATGACTGTTACATTTACTTGACTGTGAATTGCTTGTTTGTGTATTCTGATAGTGTGTGTCTGATATATACAGGCATGTGGTCTGGGTAATAGT